TTCATTATCAGGTGCACGTGATTTAATATTGGAGAAATTGTTATATATTTTTTTATCAACATCCGCAATTTGTGGACTAATGCCGCCTGCAAACTGAGCGATCTCAAATTTCCGAATGTTTTACGATTACCGATAAAATTATGCAATGTAATTTAATACGCATATCGTTTCGCATTGCCGTCGTTTCGAAGCCGGTGCGTAGTTTCGGTCAAAAACACGCGAGGTAAACACAATCGACTCTTTATATTTCCGTACGACTGAACGCATGGGAATGCTTGTAAAAATATTTTGCGTTGTGCTTGAATGAATTTCGTGAAAGTCCTCAGTTAGCTCATGGCAAAATAAATACAGACGAAAATGTAAATAGAGATACAGGTGAAAATATTAAAAATTGTACGATTACGAATTGTACATTTGTAATCGGAGAACCAAAGAAAACAATCAATTTTTACAAGTAAAATATTTAAGTTTCTAAGTGTTATAGTGTATACACGTATACAACATTCAATTAATGAAGTGTTATAAAATATACAAATATACAAGTTTAATTGATGGTTGTATAATAATTATCTACACGTGATAAAATATCGCGTGTAGATAATTTGTATGCTAATTAAATCAATACAATCGTATTAAGTATACGATGTGAGAAGTACAATTTATCTATGGAAATAATTTTTTTTAAATCAAAATATATCTCACTTAGATAGTATTTTTAATTGCGGTCTTGTTATTTTCAATCTGCATATATGTTATTTTTTAATAAAATAACTTATTGTTAGAAAGCACAGGCTCGAGCATTTCGCGAAAGAATTTTTTTATTCGACGCGTAAGCGACGTTGATAGAAATATATCGGCGAGCTCAGCGAAATATCAGTCACCGGAAAGAAAAATCTTCGATGCATCCGTTTCGCGTGTGATTAGAAATACTTCATTCGGGACATAATAAACATACAAGAAAAAAAATCTCTGCCGTTAATGACGCTTTTTTTTTGACAGATAAGTCAAATGCACGATAAGCGTAACGTTTAATGTTAAATCGTGTTAAATCAGAACGTTGTTTGTGCAACTCTCTCGCTGACACTTGCGATAACACAAGTCCGCGAGGGTAAATCGAGAAATGACAGACGACAACGCTCCTCCGATTTATCATCGATAAATTGCTTTAACAGCGTATTTAAGCAGATATAAATTTCTCGACAAATACCCGATATAACATCGGCATCTCGAATACAACTATACTTTATCAATGCACACAATTTATATGCTCTCATTTATTTGATATCTATTTTTACATTCTGTTTTCTCTATATAGCTATAGCAAAATTTCTGTATCGAATAAAAATATCAACGAAAAATTCTTTATCTCTCTCTTTCTCTCTCTTTATCTCGAGGGCATTTTTGAAAATAGCAGTATTCGGAGAGATGGGAGTTTGCGTTGACGCCATCGGCACCCTGAACTTATAGAATTTGCATCGAAAAACCTGGCCTACCTGACTAATCATGTTCCGATCGCCTTATACGAATGTTCGTAATATGCAATTAGCATAAATCAAGATTCCGCGGCAACGATTTCGTCGGGAACATGCGGAACGGCTTCGTCGGCACTTACCTTATACAAGGTATAAATTTTTCTGCGCGTATAGATATCTCGGTCATGGCCGCAAGCATCGAAACTGCGTATCCAAATATCGTAGGAGTTTGAAGGGCGAGGGAAATCTGCAAAAAGATGTTTAGAAGGGCTGCTTTATAAATGATCGGGAAAAAATTGGAGTGTGAATGTGTCTAATAACTATAAAGTAAAACTTATTAAGCAGACTTAATATTTTTAATATAAAAAGCAACACGTGTAAAGGAACGTTTTTACGACATATTTCTCATAAAAATAAAATTCGTTGGTTGATTTTACTCGTCTTCAACGTTGGCTGCTCTTCATTTTTGCACCGTAGAACGATCCCTCCTTCCCCATATTCACGATCACGTGGCATTTCGCGAATTTACGACGTACATACACCACGTGGGCTTTAACGGCACGCGGATGCGTTACGGGGAAAAGAAACAGCCCCCAGACGCTTAGGTGGAAAGTATTACTTGTATCTTTTTTTTTTTAACGCGTCCGTCGTGAATCATCCGTTCCTCTTTCTTTCTTCTCGGTGCGGAAAACGCGAGATTATTCACGCGTTTTTTTTTCGAATTCGTGTGTAAACAAATGTAACGCGATTATATATCATTTGTCATAATGATGAAAAGGCAAAGAATGCAAAATATGATCTACCGTTAATTTCATTTGCAACTATAATTATACGGTCGGTATATCGACATTGTGCGCGTATATATATATACGTATATACATATATGTTTTCTTTTCAGAGACGCAAAATTTTAACACGCGAGGTTCTTCGTCGTGTTTCCAGATATTCTTGCATTTAAAACGAGGCATAAGCTTCCTTCACGAGAACACCGTGAAATCTCACTGGAATACCGAATTTCATATTCCAGTTGTGCGTTGGTTACGTGCGGATGAAGCGTTGTCACGCTTGGAGCCTTTTGCACACGTCACGGCTCCGTTTTCACTTTATTCGGGCTTTAAAGCACTTACGCGAGTATTGTTTGCGCGATATACCTACACGGCAACGAGACAGAAAGGTAAGCCAATGTCAAAAGGACATGGACGAGATAGGAGAAACGGGCGGAACGTGTATAACGAGTCTAAGCTCATTTACCGAAAAACGACGAGGAGATGTAAGTATAAAGGCAAAAGATTATAGATTTTGACGTTAAAGTATCAGCTTATCTAAATTATTTCGAGAAATCCAAAATGGAACGATTATTTATAGATTTTTCATAATGTCGTATATATATACTTTTATACTCGTCCAAAATTCTATTGACATTTGCTTCATTACAAATTTTTAACTCTCGAAAAATCATTGCAACCTCAAGATAGATATATTTAACTTAACCTAACTTTTGAAACGATTAATATTGAAAAGATGTTTAATGCTTACTATTAATTAATTAATATTTATATTGTTAATTACTTTTCCACGAATATTTAATATAATGTATAACATTTGTAACTCACCTTATCAGTGTTACTGCGTCAGCATTTAGTAACGCCGTATATGTAAATTGTAAACAAATCTTGTCGCCAGCGAGGAACGTAACTTGGTGATTTTGCCTCGTATTTACTTGATTCAATAGATGGCCGCACAGGATTCCGGGGTATGAAACGAATATATGAGGCACGTTTCAGGCATTACCCTCGTACGGTATACGTACGGTATAATTCCTCGTTGAATTCATCCGGGCCTCGTATCGCGAAAACGTATACACGTGCACGCATACATATACGCACGCGAAGCGCGTAGCTCCGATTCCGAATTATATTCGCGGGGCTGCGTTCGGCTAGCCGGCTAGCCGGCCGGGCCGGGTTCGAAAAGTAAAACGGCGCGTACGTGCATACACCGATACACACGCGCTCACGCACGGACGCACACACAGAACGCGAGAGCGCGGGGCGCGCGCACGAGGGGAGCGAGCGAGACGCGGCGAGGAAACGAGCGAGACGATGGCAACGAGGTACCCGGCGGTCGCGCGACGGACGGAGAGACGCCGCGACGCGAGAGAGAAGGCACGCGGGCGTAGCAGGGGACGACGTCGCGAGTGCGAGCGAGACGGGGCTATGTATACGTATACCGCGGCCGCGGTGCGCCCGACGGAGGTACGCGACAACGGCGCGCATCGATTGGCGCGCTAGCCGTGACCCCCACCATGGTGCTTTCGCTTTCACCCAATGGGGCCTCACTTTCGCGCTCGCCCGCGTTCGGCGCCACGGCAGCCGGCACGCTGTCGTCGCCGGCTTCTCTCAGTGACTGGTGCACCCTACGTGCGAGCGAGCGTTTTTCGTGCGTTCCGTGGGCTCGTCCGTTTCGTCTCGGGGAGCGGCAGAAAGAGAAAGAAAGAGAGCAGAACGGAAAAGGGCGGCGGCGGCGGCGACGACAGAGGTGGAGGCGGTGGAGTAGTCGGAGTGAGGCAGCCTCGGTGTGTCAGTGTGAGCGTTTAACATTGTGCGCCCTTCCATCACAGACCCTGTACTTATAACACGTACCCGCGTTACCCGTTAAAGTGTGCCGATTTTTAAATCGTCGCGGCGGGTTTCGTCGTGAAACGCGACACGCGCGCGCGCGCGCGCTCTCTCGCTCTCTCCCCCTCACCGTCGGTAATATTGCGTTGTACGCCGGGGCGGCGCGCGTAGTGCGCGTACACCGGCGCCGGTTGACCCTGACATTCGAAAAGCCGGCCGGGCGAGAGACACTCGTCGTCTCGCGCGCGCAGGAGCGACATCGAGCTTGTGTGTGCTTCCGACACGGCGGTGAACGTACGTGCGAACGAGCGAGGAAGACGAAAGAGAGGACGCGGAAGGACGGAGACGCGTCAGCAGTGCACCCTCGGATTCGCGGATGTCCCGAGACTTTTTCGCTTTTTTCTTCCCTCCCGCGGTCGCGCGTCGTGTCGCGGTCTAAGCTCCGCTGACCTTGATATACCGATGCGCCAGCGCGTCGATAAAAACACTGAGGAAGGTCACGCCGTGTTCCGAGCGGTGTTCCCCCGCGGTGTGCCGATCGCGCGACCGGCGTTTCTGTTATTGTAACACGCGACAACGAATGACCTTGACTCCTCGGCGAGGCGGCGCCTTGATATCGCCGAGTCGAGCGCGAACCGGTCGGCCGCGAGTTCGCTTCGCTTGGTGCGTCGTTCGATCCCGCACGCCTCCTCGTCGTGTCTCCAATCGTGTGAAGTGTGTCGCCCGGAGATGAAGTAGGAAGGCAACCTGAAGGGGGACAGTCTTCGTGGCCGTAGCGAAGCGCGCGTCGCACCACCATCCGCGACCCTGCGAAGTCTATCCGCGAGGCGTCACCGCTGGAGAAACGACGTCCGAGAACCTAAGCGGAAGAGGAACACCCGACCTTGACGTGTGTGAGTCCCGAGCATCTCACATGGCACCGCGGCGTCACGCCAACGGCGGCCACGGCGGCGGCGGGGGCGGCGGCCTCCTGGAGAACGGGGGCGGCGGTGGTGGCGGCGGTGGTGGCGGCGGCGGTGGTGGTGTTGGCGGCATTGGCACCAACGATCCCATGGACAACCTGCTGGGTCCGAGCCAGACGACGCGTTGCTGCACGCCGACCGGCGAGTGCCTACGCGGCGACGCTCTAATCCGCTTCAACGCCCTGCACGACGCGGTCAAGGTCACCTGCAACAACGACAACTGCCCGGTCGGCCAGTTCATGCACCGCGAGTGCTTCGACGCTTGGGAGCAGACGGTACTCACGTACCTGAAGAGCTGCGGCCGCGCACGCAGCTGGTCCGAGCGTCAGCGTCATCAGAATCTCTGGACGAAGAAGGGCTACGATCTCGCGTTCAAGGCGTGCGGCTGCCGCTGCGGCCGCGGCCACCTGAAGAAGGACCTCGACTGGATGCCGCCCGGTCTCGGTAACGTGCCCGGCAACCGCCCCGACGAGAACGAGGCGAAGAAGAAGAAGCGGCGCAATCGTCAGAACACCCGGCCGAGCCTGGCCGTGTCGGCCGGCCCGCCCAATCACGGTAACCATGTCGCCGCGAACGGACGCGGTGCCAGCGAGGCGCAGATGATCGAGTCGGGTCGCGGCAGAGCCGGCTCCTTGTCATCCAGCACCGGTTCCAGCTCACCGCCGGCCACCAGCGAGCCCAGCGTCAGCCCTCTTCACCAGCCGCAGGCCATCATGAAAAAGAAGAGCAAGGTCGACTTCTTTAGCGATCGCGCGAGGTGAGTACTCCCTTCTGTCATCTAAATTGAGATTATAGTCTAAGTCGTTTTAGATATTCGGCGCTGCACCTTTCGACAATGTTCCGCCATAAAATTAATACGGGCAATTTAATGCGAATTTCTTTTGAATATTATTTTTACTTTTTTCTTCTTTGGAAGTCGCTCTTTAAAAATCGCTTTGCTCCAGCTTGAGAATCAGCGTGCTATGCGAATTAACTGAATCCACGGGGCACGAATTAGAATCCTATTTTTAATTATTTATAATGACTTTAATAGAAAAAGGAAAATTTAATTAAAGTGAATATAATTGCAAGACGTAAATGTAGTAATTCCATGTTGCAAAGGATTATTTAAAAAATTATCGGCCATACGCTTTTCCGAGAATTCCCTTACTCGCTTTTACTATCCAGATTTAACTGCTGCAATTTAAGATACCTTATCGTTATCGTAAACCTAGACTCCGGGACGTTCTTGGGAAAGTTTATATACGCTTAACGCGGCGATGAATGCACCGTATAAATTTACGATATTATTCCCGCCAATTTTTTCCGCAACGCGTTTACGCGACTTACAAATTCAATGCACGCTTTGTTCAGAGAAACTTCGTAGTATGTGGAACACATGAGTGCTCGAAATAGAAAACAAGTACGCGCGCAGATTAGCCCGAAATCAATATGATGAAAAACGCTCGTGAAAGATATATTGCAATTAATATAAAATATGCTCTTTCCTAATATCTTTCTCTTACTTTCCTTCTTTCAAAAGAGAACCCTATTAAATCAATTTGGAAGGATTACTCTGCCTCTGCGAAACAGCGATTTCTCTATACCTTTGTAGCAATTCGCTTTCTTACTCAGGCTATTGAAACTTCCACGGCTCGCTTTTAATAGCTCTCAGCGAGCGTTCATGCGTCTCCGTAACGTCTAGATCGGGCCGTGGCCCGAAAATAGAGGAGAGAAGCGAAATAACGATGAAATTTATAAGCCTGCAAAAAATTGCGTCCGGTACGCCCTTTCTCCCCCCCCCCCCAATAAATATTTACGCATGAAAGATGTCGCGCGAGAAAAACATTCGCGGGATATTTTCCGAGGGTAGCGAAACGTCTACGGATGTGATCGCGGAGCGTTTCGTCCGCGATTTATTCCCAGTTAAAATCCGAGCCCTCGGCGAGCTCGTAGCGCGCCACAGCAACGGTGGAAATTTATAGATACCCGCCGCCGATCTTTCCAAAAGAGATGGTCTCATAATAGTCGCGGCGGAGAGAGAGAGAGAGGGGCGGTGAACGATAGTCCGCTAAAAAAAGAAAAAAAAAGAGGGGAAATCGCAATCGTACACATGACATAAATGGGCGCAACGTTCTCGAGAATAGCGCCCTATTGCGCTATATTGCGCGATGAAAACGGAAGGGGCGTAGGTTTTTCACGCCCCTATCCCCCTCAATCGCGCGTTGCGTTACATTCGTCATAACGATCCTCAGAATTCGTGATCAAAACATCCGCGCGTCGTCGCGATACCGTATCGTGGCTCTGTAATCTATAGGAATGAGATTCGTACTGTGGCGTCTCTGTAGCCACCGTCCACAGGATTTAGAATAAAAGTGAACTCATATAATTACACGGGATGTAGCGCGAAGAATCTCGTGTTGTGTGCGTACGTAGGTGTGTGAATTAATCCTTTGGCTCCGTTCGCATCTCCTCCGTTTTAATTGCGGGACATAAAACGCGGTGAATGTGTCAGGAGGATAGGGGGACGACGGCGGCGTCCGGAACAAAGGAAATTCGTGCGGGAAATTTGCGGCCTCGCTAAATTTTACGCCTTCGCGCTAACGACGTAATTATATTGGAAATAAGAGCGTTAAGAATGGTACCGACACCATCGCATTATTTATCCCTGACGTTTCAAAGTGATGAATAAACAAAGCTTAAAATATGTGACATAGCGTTGCTTAAAAATTGCAACAAGATAATAAAATAATTAAAAAATGTCTATTATAAAATTATAATAAATTTTCAATCGCTCTACTAAAATCGTAGAATGTAAGTAAACGTATATTCTTCTATAGAGAAAATTATCTGGTAAGCAATGTCTTAAAAAAAATCGATGTATCAAAAAAAAAAGAATAAATGCAATCCTTGAAAATGTGTTAATTGAAACTTTGAATAAAAGCAGATAAAGCGTTAATAAAGAGAGTCGCGAAAAAGTAAATGACATCGGTTGAGATATCGAAAGATTAACAAGCAATATCCGATGTTTCAACCGCAATACAGAAGTTTTAACAGAGTATTTTTTCGATGACGCGCGAAAAGGTGCACGGACAACTGGGTGCGGGTTTTTAGCAGCATCCTCTCGACGCTCTCTACCTCTTTAAATGCATCGCGGTGGCGTGATTCCATGCCGTTGGCCTTGGGAGCTGCTAGAGCGTTCAGGCTCCTCGCTCGGTGGCCCTGAGAAGGTGGCCACGGTCAAGGTTACAAGCATCCTCCCTCCTCGCCCTCCTCTCTTTCGTCTTCTTCTCCCTCTTCCCTAACGTTAGCAATCGCTTGTGCATACGTGCACGCATCACACACGCATGCACACACATGCAACATATATACATACAACAAACTCCAACGGGTCCCGACCGCCCTACTCGCTGGCAACCTAAACTTGCCGTTGCATCGTTGGTACGCGTGCACTCGCCTCAAGGTACCGCCCGATTGCCTGAAACGAAAACGAAACCGAGAACGCAGACCCGAAGATCTTGCTAGCCATCGCGCTCGAAAAAAATTTCTTTGTCGATTTGAACGATATAGTGCTTCTAATAATTATATATAATGTATTTATTCATATTATGAATTCAAAAGAGCTCTAACAATACGAAAAAAATGTTAAAAGCGTTAATATTTATCTCATATATACATATAAATTTAATTAATAATTGTTAACTTCGAACTTACTAATAAACTTGTACTTAAAAAATAAATCCAGAATGACAATTTTATAAAATTAAGAATTATTGATTCAAAGATTTTTTTAAAAATGATGCAATTGACTAGAAAAAAAAAGCGTTTTTCAACTTCATCCTGCATTTATCCGTCACGCTTGCTTATCCGCGAATGCTTAAGCGCGATAAATCGCGTTCATCACAAGCAAACTCTCAATCGAGCAAATAAAATAGACAGCGTAGGTCAGAAGTCTGGAAAAATTCGGAGTCTTACAACGCGCGGCGAAGGAGGCCCAGGAGGATTCCCGACCCGTCGAACTGGAGGAACATAAACAGAAATAGGACAGGTTTCCAAGGCTGCATCTATATATAGGATGCACACACGCATACGCGGCATATATACGCGCGAAGAACGCGCGCGTACTATGGGTTGGAGCGCTGTCGTAATCGTCGTGATGGTCTCTCTCGCTCTCTCCTTTTCTCGCTGCCCTTCGTCTTCTCGCTCTCCTACCGGAGGTCTAGAGCAACCTAATACACGCTCACGGCCATACACACACGTACGCAGCACACACCATGCCCGACGCCGCTCTATAGAGCGACCTACGCGCGACGAGAAAACAGACCAGCGGCGTTCATTCATGCCCTCTCGAACGTGCGTCCCGAGAGTTGCTTTTACGACACGCGGACGCGAACAACGTCTCGCCTTTCGGTTTCTTCACAACGACACCGCTTTTTTATTTCCCTCGTGCAAAATACACACCGCCGAACATAAATTGCCGCGTCAAGGAAATAAAAAATGTATTACAATTTTTGACCGTGTTATGTTCTCGTGACCTTAGAAACCGTCAAAATACAGTCTATGTTTAAAGTTTTGCAAACATTAGTCTTGTAGATCGAAGCCAGAATTCGCACGCGAAGAGAGGTAGAAGAGTGAGAAATCAATCGTATAGAATTAATTGTTATACAGACTGTTTGCAAACGTAAAGTTGCATCTTTATGGCGTTATAACATCGACGAGATTATAAGTATTCGCGTCAACTTGAAGTTGCCTGATAATCTTTTTTACAACAAAACATGAATTATCGTCATAAAAAGATCTTGCCACACTACAATACGAAATTCAGAAAACGTAGTAGTCTGATACTTCAATTTGGTCCTGCAATCGATTATGAGAAATTGTTGATAAAATTTTGAACAAAGAATATTTTCAGCCATTTCAACAGAAACTCTGCATTGCAAGATAGAAAAGCATCGAGTTCGTTTTACAAACTAACGTTCCTCTTTCAACGTTTTAATAACTTTTCGTTTGTCGAATTTAAGATTTTTTTTTTTTTTAAAGTGCGCAAGATTCATATTAATGTAATATAAGACGCGAGCTCCTTTTCCAGCAAAGTTCCGATTAGTTTGGAACATTCTTTAAACTCTGATTTTTTTAAAAACTATCTCCTCCTCCTGTCTCCGTAATAAGATCCTCTTTGAAACGCTCTTGAAAAGTGCCATGGAGCCACGATCCGCGCGCATATTTCAGAACTTCAGCAAGTACGTGAACCGGTTTCGCGGCCCTTTCGCGAAACCGGCAAGCAACGGTAATATTAAAAGTCAGTAGAGCGAAATTAAATCGGCGGTTGGGACCGCTATCGAATTTGCGCAAAATCCGCCGTCGTTTCTGTCCCTTTTCTTCGTCCCCCCTCCGAGAAATCCTCGGTGTTGAATTTCACGAAGCGATGAATCGGAATCGATTTGTCTCTATACGAGCGGTCGTATGTTGGTTGCTGTTTTGTGATTTCGTGAGATCTCAACGTACATTCGAATGTTCGCGATACAGTTTCAGCGCGGGACGCTCTTTCACTTTCCCTTCCCCCTCCTCTTTTTTTTGTCTCGTTAAAGCTTCCGCCTTGTCCCTAGTCCCGAGAACCAAGCGTATATCTTCCGAGAATCTTCGCCATCATTTGGACACCATCTGCCGCGACAGAAATCGCGCGGTACGCTTTTATCTAAATATTTGGAGATCATAAAACGCGGCGAGCGACAAACTCATAAAAGAAACGGCTGGATTAACTGCGGTTCGGTGGGACGC